AGCAGGCCTAAGCCAGCAGGTCGTTATCTCCCGAGGGGTCCCAGACTGCTAGAGGGCACAGGCCGGGCTGAGGGATCCCCCCTCCCCCCCGAGTGCACAAATTTTTGTGCACCGGGCCTCTAGTCTATATATATAAAAGCCAAGCAACCAGAACACCAGAATGACCAGTCGCTATGATGCGCACTATCGCCTGATTGGGGCCCTAATTGCCCTCCTCTAACCTCCTGCAGCCCCTCTCCCTGGCCAATTTCCTGCAAGGGTCCCTTCTTCCCCCAGGCCGACAACCAACCTCCTGTGGCCCCTCCCTTACCAGCCCAGTCTGATCGGCCCCCATTGGGGCAGGTCAGCTGGATCCCACCTGTGCACGAATTCATGCACCGGGCCTCTAGTTATCTAACAAAAGAACATTTTAGGTGGTTTCTTTATCAGTCTGCCATTGTCTCTATATTGAGACAGGAGAGGAAGCTACCAGCGTGTTTGTTTTCTAGGCTCCCTTCTTTTTCTTCAAGGTCTTTCTCAAATTAATAGGCTAGTATGATTTGGCTGAAATGGGAAGGACCACAATGAAAACTACAATTAGAAGTGCTTTGGAGCCAGATAGTGGAGGCCTCTGTGAAGGGGTTTTGAGCCAAGAAGGGAAATGTTCAGAACTAAACTTCCAGATTAATAATTTGATATCTGATATAAGGGGGAATTTAAAGAGGACAGAGAATAGAGGCAAGAGGTACAGTTATGTGGGCCAAAGATAAGGTAAGCCTGAGACTTTTGAGAGTGGAGAGGAGGACATGATAAAGATTTGAAAATGCATATAATTTCTTAAAAATTATAATTGTTGTGCAAACAGAATTGTGATAATTATATATCACAACTGCCTGAACTTCAGTATACAAATTAACCAAGTGATTTCTTAGGGACTTAACTACTGGGGTTTATTTAGCATTTTCTTTAAAACTTTTTTTTTAATGGTTTTAAGTATTATTTTCCACTGAGTTGGTTTGAAGTTAAGGCTAGTTTGCTTACATATGTAACACTGCACCAGACCCTGCATGTTATGGAAGTAGATGACAAGGCACCTGGCTCTGCCTGCTAGTGGATTCTAACCAGTCACTTGGGTTGGGATTACTGTGATGTATAGAAAAGGACCTTTCTGTTTCTGTGAAACATATTAGGAGAGGGAGGGAAGGAGATGCACCTGTTAGATGACAGAAGTAGGGTAAAATAATAGAAATGGAGCAGGTTGTTTTTGCTGTGGGGAAACTAATACATAACCAAGAAGGCGGTTAATGAATCTAGTTCCTTTGTTTTGCTCTTAATTTGAATCTGGATGGATTAATTAGGGAATGAGAGTAATGAATTGTGTATATTTTTAGTTTTAATTTTTAAGCTGGTATTTTTCAATAAAAGCAAAAGTTCATAAGATTATGAATATAAATTTGCCTTTCCCTTGGCCACATTCCCTTACTCTTAATAATCTCTTATGTATTCTCACAGACAAACTGTATGCATATACAAACTCATACCATATGTATATAAACGAGTATAAAAGTAATAAATTTTAATGTATAGGGGTGTGCAAACATAGTTTTATAGTTGTGAGTTTGAGTATGCAAAACAGAGTTTATTCTTTTACTATGTATTATTATTTATTTGTATTACAACTGTAAACCTACTTTTGTCCAGCCATGTATTTATTGGATTGATGATTTATCAGTGGTACATTAACTTTTATTAAGATAAAGGTGCCTAAACAGTGGGCCATTTGATATGATATTAAAATCTAATAAAACAGATTTGCTCAAGGGGAAAGCATTTATAATAGAGTTCCTGTTAAGTATTACACTTATAGTTAACTAGAGGCCTGTTGCACGAAAAGATTCATGCAATAGGCCTTCCCTTCCCCTGGCTGCCGGCACCGGTTTTCCTCCGGCACCCGGGACCCAGGCCTTGGCTCTGGGCAGAGCCGCCTTCAGCCTTCGCTGCTCTGGCCTGAGCCGCCTTCAGTCTTTGCTCAATACAGGATGACAGGAAATAGAGGTAATCACTGAACCTCTGGCTTTGTTTTCAGTGTGTCTCCAGTGCCATAACCTGCTCCCATCTGTTTTCTTTCTTCCAGGAACTGCCACTTACATTAAAACCAAAAGCCAGAATTTAAGAGCTGAGGTGTAGTGTTAGATAAGAAGGGCTCCTCTACATGGGCTCACTGTAGTCATCAAATAATTGTTCTCATCATTCAGTAAATTAAGATATTAGTCCTGCCTGGGGTAAACATTCGTAATAATTTGAGGCCTATATTTCTTTTTCTTTTCTATTTAGAAATTTGAGGCTGATCCAGTTGAATTATTTGAAATTCCAGTAAAGGAATTAACATTTGACCAACTCCAGTTGTTAAAGGTAGTAATAATAGCATAAAATGTAAATAATCTTTTATTTTAAGACTATTTGTATCTGTCTGTATATGGTAATGTTCTCTGCACCTGGAGATAATATAGTCAGCATGCATAGAGTATATGCTTTGGTTTTCTGTTCTATTAGGAAGAATGGGTTTGTGCTGATCTATCTTCTCTGTTTTCATGAACTGCCTTGGTTTTTGCATACATCAAGGGGCTAGGCCAGTGGTCAGCAAACTCATTAGTCAACAGAGCCAAATATCAACAGTACAACGGTTGAAATTTCTTTTGAGAGCCAAATTTTTAAAACTTAAACTATATAGGTAGGTACATTATTATTAACTTAATTAGGGTACTCCTAAGGCTTAGGAAGAGCCACACTCAAGGGGCCAAAGAGCCGCTGTGGCTCTCGAGCCGCAGTTTGCCGACCACGGGGCTAGACTATAAGTCTTTGTCAGCCCTTCTCATCCATAATTTTAGGTTGCCTCTGTTCTACTTTAGCCTTTCTTTATAACTCACTACTTTACAATTGGCCTTTTATGCTATTGTTGGCTTTATACTTATGTAACTAAGATCTTTGTATATTTTGTTATTCCATGTAATCTTATATGATCCCCCTTTCTATTCCCATTGGATACCTAAATAAATGGTTGATTGAGTATAAGTTTCCTAACTTAAGAATCTTTATATTCTTCTTCCCTACTTGGGTATCTGATTATGATCTTATGTGTATGTATAAATATATATATATGTATATATGTGTGCTTATTCTTATAAACTTATAATTCTACATTTTATAGTTTTCTTTAACTTACTAGCTCTTCAAGTTAAAGTTCTTCATAAACTAAGGCTTTTTCTAATGATTGCATTTTGTGTGTGTTTTTTAGCTTACTCATGTGACTGCACTAAAATCTAAAGATCTAAAAGGTATGTACAAGTATGGAAACACTGTTTTCATTTCATAGTTAGCATATATACAATATTTCCTTATCCGTTTTGACACACTGTTGGTTGTTTAATGAATATAATACAGGGCTATCCAAAAGTAATTTTATAAACATGAAAGCTTTACATATATTAATCTTCAAGTGCATATATGTCATTGTATAGATGATCAGAGGTCTTTATCATTTTGTACCTTTCAGTATTTCCAACATTCTTCACATTACAAAATGATAAGACTATAGCAAGAATAGAAGCCAGGAAAATGAAGGCAGCTCTACCTAATATTTACCAATTGTGACCTTGGGCAGTTTACTTGCCTCAGGTTCCTCAAAGCTTGGCCTGCCTACAAAATCCCTTTGTAATTCCACTTTACTTTCTCCTCCCATGGGACATAATAGTCTATGCCGTTCATTTGAGGCTTAGTGTATCCTTTGTTGTTGTTGTTGTTACCCTTTATTTTTATATATGCCCTGTCTCTTCAACTAGAATGTAAACCTCTGTAGGGTGAGGAAAATGTTTTTATGTATTTCGAGCCAGTGAATTCAGAGAGGAAGGGAGAGAGATAGAAATATTTGCGATGAGAGAGAATCATTGATTGGGTGCCTCCTAAATGCCCCACACTGGGAATCGAGCCTGCAATCTGGGCAAATGCCCTCACCAGGATTCAAACCATGACCTCTTGGTTTATAGGTCGACACTCAACCACTCAGCCACACCAAGCGATCTTTTTTTTTTTTAAAAGAAAAGCTTGATATTAATTTTTTCTGTCTTGGAAAAAATCCTTCTGTGTCTCAAGTTGGAATCTATTTTGGATTAAATGTAATGGTAACCAAAGTACATTAGTGGCTATAGATTCTCTTAATTTCTAACTTCTGAGACGATTTTGATATTTCAGATAGTCTTAGCAAGATGACATACCTCTTAATTCCATTAAGAAATAACAAAACACTCTTGTGACTACCTTTTTTAAAAGAAGTATTACAACTTTTATGAGAAAATAATCATTGTTAGGACCACAAACTGTGGTGTTTCTGTTAAATGTTGCATACTAGTCTTCAAAAAGGATGCTTATTTAAAAAATCAGGGGTTTAATGGTTAAAAATAATAAATATAAGAGCCTTCAAACACTGCATATGAAAGGATTTCATAATTACTTTAGCATGTCTTTTTTTGCTTACAAATTTAGAAAGAGATCTTAGTGATAAAATGGTATTTTTTTTAATCTACTGAGTTTTTATAATTTAAATTTTTCAGAATCTGTGGTTGAAGAAGAAAATTCTTTATCTGATAATCAGCCATTTCCTTCTCTTAAGATGGTAAGTTCCTTAGGAAAACTAGGGCAAGGCTATCTCATTAATTCTGTTATATCTGAATAACTTTATTCTCTTAAATGGGTACTAATATGGTTGTATCAAAGGCAATGCAATATAATAAAGAGCTAATATGCTAATTAGACTGGATGGCAGAACGACCTTCCAATCTTCCAGATGACCTCCCGGAACAACCAGTGGAGGGGGCAGGGGTAGGGAAGGGCCGCAAGGCAGCCAGGGCTGCGAGGACCTACTCTTGCACAATTTTTGTGCATCAGGCCTCTAGTATTAATATAAACATGTCATCATTGATGCTTTATAGAGAAGATATATTCTTATGTGGCGTACCTATGCTACTTTAAAAAAGATAGTAATTTACCTGCTTAATACAAATTCCCACCTCAATCGGTTAATTTGATAAGAATAGGAAATTCACATATTTCTGTATGTAAAAAGGAAGGAGAGGGCAGGGAACAAGGAATTGGGGGAGATGTGATGATAAGAGAGGCATTTAACTGTTCCTTAACATTTTGGAGAGAAATTAGATCCTCCAAAGAAAATAAGGACCCTCGTTACATAAAACGAGACACAGATTTAAAGAATTCACTTTGAAAAAGTATAAGAAAAACTAGCATGAGTATTTTGAAACTAGACAGTTTATACAGGAATCTATCTGACAGAATCGGGCAAGCCTATATGGACACCAGACCCTCTCCTTAGCTATGCTAAGTCTACTTTTTATTCTACTGGCTCCATTTCCTAACTTCTACTCTTCTCCATTATCTTTTCTTGGTGATGTCACCTATAGGAGATTTCTTAAGGCAAAAATAGGTCATTTCAATTTATCACAATTATTCACCCTACAGAAAGGATGCTACAAGAGAAATCCTCAAATGGACACAGTCCTATTGGTGCATTTATTATTTTTGTCTTAGTGCATTTAAAACATGATTTGAATAATTTTTCAGATATTTCTGAAGCCCAGCTAAGTAAAGTCATTCTTTCTATTCCAAAATTCCGAAATCATTTAGTTCATAGAAATCTCATGATTCCTAAACTTGTGACTTCATAGAATGGAAAAAAGTTTTTAAAAAAATTGTTTGTGAAAGGTTTGACAATATTTGCTTAGTCAAGTAAGTTCAGCACACACACTCATTTATTCATTTACTTTGGCATCACAATAATTGAATCACAGAGGAATATCAAAGCCCCAAAAAGGCCAAATATAGTCTTCTCAGTATAAAAAGGGATCTTTTTTAAAAACAATATATTTTTTATTGATTTCAGAGAGGAAGGGAGAGAGGAAGAGAGATAGAAACATCAATGATGAGAGAGAATCATTGATTGGCTGCCTACTGCACGCTCCCAACTGGGAATTGAGCCCACAACCCAGGCATGTGCCCCTGACCAGAATCGAACCTGGGAGGGACCTTTCAGTCCACAGTCCCACCCTCTATCCACTGAGCCAAACCACCTAGGGCTAAAGAAGGATCTTTCTGTAAATTTGATGTTTGACAATCTCAGAACTATTAATATACTAGTATATACTATTGTTCTTATTTTTTAATTTTGTGTTGGTCCAGTAAAAAGGTGACAGGTGCCCTAGCTGGTTTGGCTTAATGGATAGAGGGTCGGCCTGTGGACTGAAGGGTCCTGGGTTCGATTCTGGTCAAGGGCACATGCCCGGGTTGCAGTCTCAATCCCCAGTGGGGGGCGTGCAGGAAGCAGCCAATAAATGATTCTCTCTCATCATGGATGTTTCTATCTCCCTCTCCTTTTCTCTCTGAAATCAATAAAAACATATTTTAAAAAATAGTGATGGTATGTTAAATAAATATTGTTAAAGATATCAGGGGGAAAAGTCAAAAGCCCCTCACAAAATCGAGTACAACCTGTTTTAGGTACTGTACTTTTTAGCTGGTTAGTATAGGCCAGTGATAGCAAACCTTTTGAGTTCGGCATGTCAGCATTTTGAAAAACCTTAGCTTAACTCTGGTGCCGTGTCACATATAGAAATTTTTCGATATTTGCAACCATAGTAAAACAAAGATTTATATTTTTGATATTTATTTTATATATTTAAATGCCATTTAACAAAGAAAACCAAAAAAAATGAGTTCTGACATGCGTGACATAAGTTCGCCATCACTGGAATAGACCCAGGGCTAGATCCCAGGTCACCAAGCTACCAAGCTATGTTCTTACTATTACATTGTCTTTTTAGTGTGCTTTATTTGCTGTTATAAAATCAAACATCATACGTATTATCTATGTTAAGTGGTTTCTAAACTTTTGAAATAAATTGAAATTAAAAACTATATCTGTTTCAAATTCATTTTGCCTGTACATGTTTCTGTATTTTCCCAGCCTTCATGTTTAAAGACTAATCAAGTCAGCTCTTTGTAGTATAGTAGCCTGGCTTTATAATTTCAATTTTATTTTCTACTTATGCTGCCAAAATGGTATTATTGCAAAATGTCTAGATAACTTAGTTTAAATAAGTTGACATCATATTATTTGTTCATTTATATACTCATAACCTTATTTACGAGCCTTGGCATAATCTTTCATTTGGAGATAACATCTTTTCAGGGAGTTATCCACATGATATTGTTAAGCATCACCACCTTCAAAAAAGTTAGGAAACATAGTTTTTCATATAACCATGACTTAGTATTAGTATATTGATATACTTGAATAAAATTCAGAAAACACAACAAATGTCTTCTTAAATCCTTGAGGTCGAATAAGTTTATTGTGATTCACTTTGGATATCCAGTAGTAACAGTGAGAAGAATTTTAGGTTAAGGATCCATCTTTGTAGTAATGGTGAGAAGAATTTTAGGTTAAGGATCCACCTTTGTGGTAGTAGTGATCAGTTATCGCAGATAGTACCTAGGACTGTTGCTTTTGCTGTTTAATTTCTTTTGACTCTCTTAATTTAATTAATGAGATTGTCAGTTGAGTATAAGAAAAGCTAGTGATTTAATGCTGAAAGCATTTTACTCTTACTAGCGATATGTTTTCTTACAGATTGCGTTTTTGTAATAATTTTGTTTTTCTTTTTCCCCCTTATTCTACCATTCATTTCACCAAAAATAAAACAAAATTCACCACCAACAAACAAAACTCTAGGTTTTAGAGTCTTTGCCAGAAGATGTAGGGTATAACATAGAAATAAAGTGGATCTGCCAACAAAGGGTAAGTAATTCTTTGTGTATTCTCGTCTTTCCCTTTTCCTGTGTGTTTTAAATACATTCACTCTTATCTTTTTGCTTTAATGGAGTAAGTGAAACTGAAAACTTATTGTGGTTTCTTCCAGTAAGCACAGTGCTTTTAGACCCTTTTAATAACGCATATTTTATTTATTTATTTTAAAATGTTTTTATTGATTTCAGAGAGAGGAAGGGAGAGATAAATAGAAATATTAATGATGAGAATCACTGATCGGCTGCCTCCTATACACCCCTTACTGGAGCTTGTGCCATGACTGGGAACTGAACCATGATGATCTCATTCATGGGTTGATGCTCAATCACTAAACCACACTGGCCAGGCAATAAAGCATATTGTATATACTTATACTAATTTGTGGCTACTTAAAAGTAGTAATGAATGTATTATAGTAGAAATTTCCATGTTCATGTGTCTCATGTGCACATTTATATGGATGGTTTCTGGGTATGCTCATAGGTGAACAATAAGAACACTGGACAGTCGGAACTCTATAACTTTGATTAGTTTTTATTTTATCTTCCCCATCTAAACACATAATAATGTCCTAAGCAGTTTTCTATTAAGTGCTAGTAGCTAGTAATAATTAACCAGGAAAATAAATTTTTACAAATGTGTTTTAAATCACTCACAGATTTAGTCACTGTTTTGTTCAATAATTATATATTGAAAAGCTGTTAAAGGCCAGGTATTTTCTGAGTGCTGGGATCAAGTAGTGAAAGAATAAAGCCTTGCCTTCCTGGAACCTATATTCTGGTCGAGGAGAACAGCGATTGAATGTATCAGATGAGGGTACTTGATAGGCCTAAGATCCGAAGAATGAGAAATTTAACTAGTAATTCATATTTACCAGGTTTTGTTGTTGTTTGCAGTGAGTTAGCAAATGAAGTAGAGCCCTTTTGTCCTAAAGTTTATGAATATATTAAACTATTTAAAAAGTCACAGTAGATTGCAAGTTTCCAGTTATAGTTTTTATTTATCTTATTAAAACAAAAGTCTATTAATGGTATAATTGCTTTGCATATAAGCATCTCTATACCTGAATTATGATAGCTGCACTGTCGCTAAGTAGCAATGTGTTCATGGGCACATCATTTCATTTCATTTTTCAGGACTTTGCTTTTCTCATCTATAAACTAAGAGTTGGACTAGGTGTTCTCAAGATTTTTTTCCTAGCACTGTGATTCCAGAGTAGTTAATGGCTTTTGTTTTCCTATTTGCTTCTTCTACATAGGATGGAATGTGGGATGGTAACTTATCAACATATTTTGACATGAATCGGTTTTTGGATATCATTTTAAAAACTGTCTTAGAAAATTCTGGCAAGAGAAGAATAGTGTTTTCTTCATTTGATGCAGATATTTGCACAATGTGAGTAATAGTCATTTTTTTCCTCATATACTCTCTTACTGTAGATAGGACTTAGTGTACAAAGATTATGGTTGGAGGTGGGGAAGTGCCCAGACTTTACCCTTGATTTATCCTCTCAGAAAAGTTATATATATTCTCACTTCCCTTCAGGACTACCTGCTGGGATGCCCTTCACTCCTGTAAACTCCATACCCACTGGGTCCTAATGCATCATACCCTGTATTGCATGTAACATCTTCCTTACCAAATTATAAGTCCTTAAAGGCTTTCTTTTTTAAAAAAAATAAATTTTATTGATTTTTTACAGAGAGGAAGGGAGAGGGATAGAGAGTTAGAAACATTGATGAGAGAAACATCAATCAGCTGCCTCCTGCACAGCCCCAGTTGGGGATGTGCCCACAACCAAGGTACATGCCCTCCTTGACTGGAATTGACCTGGGACCCTTTAGTCTGCAGGCCAATGCTCTATCCACTGAGCCAAACCAGTCAGGGCCCTTAAAGACTTTCTTGTTGCCCATTTCTGAGAATATTTTAGCTCTTGTATAGAAAAATTAAATTTTTTTTTATTTTTTGTCTGAAAGGCAATACACACATGTTAATGGTGATTATATCTCAGTAATGGGATTATGCTGGGGGGGGGTCTTGATATATTTTCTAAAGCTTCAGAACAATATAATTATCATCCCAATGAAAAGCATTTTTTGAATTGTCTTTTTTAGGGTTCGGCACAAGCAGAACAAATATCCCATATTATTTTTGACTCAAGGAAAGTCTGATATTTACCCTGAACTCATGGACCTCAGATCTCGGACAACTGCTATTGCAATGAGTTTTGCACAGTTTGAAAATCTACTGGTAAGTTATGTTTGAATTTCTTAATTTTCATTTTTTTAAAATGCTTTTTAGAAAAGAAATAAAGTTTCATGTTCCATTACACATCTCATTGGTTAGTTTTGACCTATTTATAACAAGCAGATAGTTCTACTGAAAAATGAGAGTATTAGATCTCAGAATCAAAAGCAATTACTTGAACAAAAATATATATATATTTCCTTGAATGCCTACATTAAGTAAGTTTTGTAGTTGAGTGGATTTTATGATTTGTCTGAAATGATCTAATAATATAAGTTGTGTAAGAAAAATTATACATTGTCTTTTCCTGCCCACTCAACTTTGGAGAGCACTGATTTAGAATATGACCATTTAGCATTTGCAGTCAATAAGTTACTTTTTCATGAGTAATTTATTTTTCTCCCATTAGGGGATAAATGCACATACTGAAGATCTGCTCAGAAACCCATCCTACATTGAAGAGGCAAAAGCTAAGGGACTAGTCATATTCTGCTGGGGTGATGATACCAACGACCCGGAAAACAGGAAGAAATTGAAGGAATTTGGAGTTAATGGTCTAATTTATGATAGGTATTTGTTTTTCATGAAAAACTTTCATATTGATTTTGGTGAGAGGGGAAGGGAGAGATAGAATCATGGATGTGAGAGAAACATGAATCGGTTTCTCCTGCATGCCCCCCCACTGGAGATCTAGCCTGCAACCTGGGCATGTGCCCTGACCAGGAATGGAACTGTGACCTCCTGGTTCATAAGTCAACACTCAGTTACTGAGCCGTGTTGGTTGGCTCTCTGTGCTTTTTTTTTTTTTTATCTAGCTATAGATTTAACAGATTTCAGTATAAATGACAACTCTGTCTTTCCAGTTTCTCAGGCCAAATCCTTGAAGTCCTTCATGATTCTGTTCTTTCTCTCATATCCCAAATCCAGTCAAACAAAATCATGTTGATTCTATCTTCAAATATATCCTGAATCTATCAACTCACCATGTTTACTGTTGTCACTCGCAAGCTACCTCATTTCCAAGGTGCATTATTGAAAGAGCCTTCTCACTGGCCATTGCCTCCACCCCTGCTTCCCTGCTGTCTGTCTGTCTGCAGCACAACAGCCAGAGGGTGCCTGTTAAAATCTCAGTCAGATCATGTTACTGCTTAAAACCTAAGAGTAAAATTCCGGGCCCTTTCCTCCCCACCCTCCTCTCCCCGCCAATGTCAATGTCTCAGTAAAGTCTTCCCTGAATATCCTAATTCAGATAACAACTGCCATTCACAGTGAACAACTGACTTTTCTCCCTAGCATTTACCACCATCTGACATAATATTTCACTTGTTTATTTTCTGCCTGGCCTCCCCACCCCAATACACCCGACACAAACATGAGCTGCCTGAGGGCCAGACTCTGCCTGTTTTGTTCATTGCTGCATCTTCAGAGGTTAGAACAATATCTGATACAGAGTGGACTTCAAATATTTGTTGAACAAATCTTTTTATTTTCTTTTTGTATAAGTCCCCTGAGTGTTTAGATGTAAGTTTGAGTCGCTAATCTGAGAAAGAAAAGGTTGCTGAATATAAAGACATGGGGTTGGAAAGGATGTTATTTACTCTGCTTGCTAATATTTGAGCAGCATCATGCAAAGAGTAAGTGATGAACTTCTTACCAGTCCTGCTTTAAAAAAACACCTTCCTTGGATTTAGTTCATATTGCTGCTTGTCCTATAAAGTTATATCACTTTCTTAATAAAACTTTTTTTTTTTACCATGTCTGAATGAGTCTGGTTTTAAAATTGCAGCTCAGATAATGTTTGCCTTTCTTTTAACTACTTGGTTAATTTTGCTTTAAGCAATGTATTTCATAGGTCCTTTTAATAGATATATCCAACTAATTAAAGGAAAAATAAAATTCTAAATCAACAATTTGAAGTAAGTGTTTGCTTTAGCAAAAATTTGAAGATTTTTTTGTTTCTTTGAAGAAGAAGGAATGATTGTAATTATTTTCGGGCAAGAAAATGTATTGTGATGTTATACCATGTATAACTTTGTAGGGTATACACATTTTAGGCAGACCCATCATCTCAAGGGCCTTGTTTGGAGGCAAATACTGACATGTAATTGAGAACAGAAAGATGCTATGCGATATAAATAGCCCTAAAGAAAATGAATTCTTCCTGGCCTGAGGTCAATAAGAATAATTTTAAAGAGGAAGCATTGAGATGGATTTGGGGTGTGGTTAAATTTGTTTTGATAGGATATGCATTTTAGGCAGAGGCTAGAACGTGAATCAGGGCAGGACTGTGTTGAAGGTGTGGAGGATTTTGAGGAGACACCCAGCACTGGGCTCCTCCTAGAGTCTGTTGACAGGTGAGGTGGGTAGTGTTAGAATTGGTTTTTACCCTCGGAAGTTTTTTTAAAATTTTACTCAAAGCAGTACATATGTATGCATAACTATTTGTGTATCTTCGTGTATATATATACATATATAGCTTAAAATTACATTTTTATATATATATATGTTGTTTAGAAATGTAAATAGTTTTATAAGACTTAAAATTTATCATAAAAAACAACAGGTGCTGGCCAGGTAGCTCAGTTGGTGAAAGTATCATCTGGTACTCCAAGGTTTCTGGTTCGATCCCTGGTCTGCACACATACAAGAATCAGCCATTGAATGCATAAATAAGTGGTACAACAAATTGATGTTTCTCTCTCTCTCTCAAATCAATTAATTTGTCAATAAAAGAGGCAATCCCCTACTCCTGTCCCTTTCATTGTCTCTAGCTGAGTTCCTATGCCCTAATTTTTTTAAGCTGTTTCTTCTGGTACTTAATGTGCTTATGCTATAATTTTTTCATTATCAAATTTCGACATTATGTAGAAGATTTTGAATGATTATTGATTCATAGTCTTTCATTCATTTTGCATTGGGGAGAATTATGATGAGGATGGGTATTTTAGTCAATCAGAAACTAATTTGTTCTCTTCTTTTACAAAGGAATTAACACAGTAGATTTCCATTTCATCATGGTTTTATGATATATTATCATATAAACTGGTACGTTTGATTTTCTGATATTTGGAATTTTTGCATTTATGATAATGACGGAGATGGCCTTTATTTACCTTGAATGGTTTGATTTTTGGTGTGGAAATAATACTTGCTTCGTAGAGTAAATTGGGCAATGCCCCTCTTTTTATAAAAAAATTATTGTGTCTGCTCAAATAATTTAAAAAATACACTAACACATTTAAAGAACATTATCATTAAATTATGAAGTCCCCCATGAGCCTCTTTCTAACTCTGTTCCCTTATCTCCTCCCTCACATATAACTGCTTATCAAATTATTATTCTCATTAAAATTTCTTTTAATTCTATCACTAAACAATATACCATTTAGTTTTGCATGGCTTTAATCTTTATTTGTATTTTGTTGCATGCAGCTATAATCTGTCCTTCTTCATGGCTGTAGAACATTTATGGTTGTATGTATCTACTACAATTTATTCTATTTGAGAACATTTTGGTGGTTGCCAAGTTTTTGCTATTACAGCATTTGCTGTAAATATTGTTGACCAGGTCTAGAATATATTTGAAAAGTTTCTCTAGGGCAGTGACTTTCAAATCTTTTTGATCCCAACCCAATTAGATAGGCATTTTATGTAGCAACCCAGTGCACACAGAGATTAAAGGTTTCTGCAAGCATTGTGGCCGGGCATAAAACTCCATGTTAGAAATCATTTCCTTAGAATTTTAGAAATAGTTCTCTGTTACCTTCATAAGTCCAGTGTTGCTGTTGAGGATCAAGAAACCATGTTCATTCCTGTTCCCACACATACAGTTTCTTTGTTTCCTGTCAGGAAGCTTGGAGAGTCTTTGTCACCAGTGTTCTAAAACTTCATAGAGATGGGTCTTATGGGTCTGGTTTCACCCATTGTGCCGGGCACTTGTTAGCCCTGTTAGTCTGTTGAAAATGTGAAAAGTTTCATGAGTTGCTTCTTAGATTTTTGTCCCTTCCATTTTTCTGACTTTTTAAAAAATCTTTGTCTTTTTGCTCCACTTGGAAAGATTTCTGCAACCTTACCTTTTACCCATTCTATTGAGGTTTTCACATCTGCTATTGTGTTTTTCATTTCCAAGGACTGTCTTTTTTCCCCAATGCTCTTTTTTCTGTACGTGTAACATCCTGTTTTCATTTTATGAAAGTACTATTTCTCTGAAAGCAGAAGTTTTTGTTTGTTCTTTTGGCATTTTCTTCCCTTTTACTCACCTGTTAGAAGTTTTCCTCACATGTTTGGAAATCTTTGGCTGCTTCTCCTAAGAGATTAGAATCTACAAAGCTTGTTGGAAGCCGGAGTGTGTTAACTTGGATTTCACTATGGGTGATCTAGGTGGCCTGTTTGATCAGACCTCTGATATCACTAGATTTAGAAATTTACTTTTTGACTTATCAGATTGCTCCTAGAAGAATCTATATCTACATAGATGTGGGTCTGGCTGCCAGGATTCTTGGAGCCAAGTGAGGTCAGAGAGCTGGGGAAGAGGGCATGTCTCTGTGTAGCATTGATTATATATATGTACTATCTCTAATTCCCTGGTGCTGCTGGAGGTTTTGTAAAATGTCCAAACGCTCACCTGGTCGAGTCCCCTATTCCAAGAGATTTCCTGTCTAATGCTTGAAATAACTTCAGTTAGTGTAGGGGAGGGGCAGTCTTGGGGCAGGGAGTTAGGAGGGATTTAACTTGCTGCTGCTTGAAGTCTTCACTCCACCCTCCCTGTTTCAGCCCCTTTCCCTTTCACTCCCAGTTCTGGAGAAATTTGATGCTGCTTTTAACTCAGCCTTTGCATTTTTCCCTTACTAGCTTGTGATTTGGCCTTTTCTATCCTGTTAACTGAAACACTTTATTACACTTTATGATCCATCTATTTTCCAGCTCTCAAAAGTTAGTTACTGTGTCTCTGGTTTTTCCCATACTCCTGAAATTTTTTTAAATCCCTTTGCTTTATTTTTAATGAGCAGGGGGTGGGAGGCAGTGGAGAGGGTATGGGAAAAAGTCAAGTTAGATGATTCCTTGACCCAGATGTCACTTTTCATTCTATGTCTTTAATGAACAGAAAGTCTTTGTTTTATAATAGTCACATATTTAATAGGGTCAATGCATATTTTTATCTTGTTTATGAAAATTTTCCCCACTGTGATATCATAAAGATTGCCTTGTGGTGACTCTTACAAGTTTCCTGTCTTTCACAGTTAGGCATGCACGGCCATGTTATCTGCTGATCTGCAGTGACAGTGCTGCCACCATCACCTGGGGCTTTTCTGTGCTGGTGACTGGGTATACCTGCCAATATTGCACAGCTTTAGCATGGTTCTCAACCGGGTGAGAAGTTCTCATCTTGGTCTTCGTGATTTGAAGTCAGAATTGGGTATTAATTCCAGTTCTGCCTCTAAATAGCTTCCCGTCTGTAAAATAAGACATTGCCAATTAATTGACTTGGAGAGAAGATACTTGAAGAATGACCAGTAAGCTACAGATTTCATTTTCTGATTCAGTTGCTTTCTAATCAGCTCTTTTGCACCCAGGGCACAAAAGGAAATGCTGCTGTTCTGGGTTATCAGAAAGACAGGGAAGAAGAGACATAATTTTTAAGTATTGGGTGTCCCAAAAAAATGTATACACATATTTTGAATAATTACAGAAAGCAGTGTTTATTAAAATACATTTCATTTTTCAAATTGAGCTATTAGTTAAAGTGCGTACATTTTTTGGGACACCCTATATTTATAGAAATCCTCTTTTGAGGGAAAATAGGTTAAACTTGTGCATTCAGGGTGATCAAAGTTATGTAAAAAAATTTGTATTAAGGGTGATCAAAGTTATGTAAAAAATATGTATAGAAAGTTTTTAAGTAATCCAATTAAAATATAGATTTC